AACCATTGAATTCGGTAGATTCGTCTAAAATTGTGTATAACTTTTATTAACAATTAGTAATATTAATGTTTTCCTTGTATAAATTACAGGTGGACCTTCCAGAGCACCATCAGAAGCAAGGAAATGTCTTGAACATCAGGAAAAATGAAGAAATGCAATTATTTATGAACAAATCAATTATTTATTGTAAAATTATTGTCCAAAATGTATATTACAAAAGGTTACAATATACCAGTTTTGTTTTACAGCATTTTACAGTCTATTTCCTTCTCCTTTACGTACCATATTCACTTCCTTTTGCAAAAAACCTTATTGTTTAAAGAATATTCCATTGCAAAATTGAATAAACTAATGCCAGAAACCACCAGGAATGCGTAATCATCGAAAAATTCGAAAAAATCCCGAAATTCTAGCGTAAACTACGGAAATTACGGAAATATTTCGAAATTCGCGCGAATATACTCGTTCGGTGCTCGAGTCCCCGAGAATTCCTGGAAATGACGTCATTTCTTGGAAATGACGAAAATTCCGAGAATCGACTCGATTCCAAGAATTGACCAATGGCCCTTTGAAAATTTCGGTCCTCGAGAATTCCTGGAATTTGGTCAGTTCCGAGAATCGAGTCACTTCCAGGAAGTGACCTCCTGTCATATCATGTTCGCCTATTAGAAAGTCGATTTTCAGCCAAAGGGTCTTTGAAAATTTCAGTTCTCGAGAATTCCTGGAATTTTCGTCATTTCTCGGAAATGACGAAATTTCCGAGAATCGAGTCACTTCCCGGAACTGACCTCCTGTCACATCATGTTCGCCTATTAGAAAGTCGATTTTCGGCCAAAAATTTTCGAAAATCGAAAATCTTGACTTTCTAATAGGCGAACATGATGTGAAAGGAGGTCACTTCCTGGAAGTGACTCGATTCTCGGAAATTTCGTCATTTCTGAGAAATGACGAAAATTCCAGGAATTCTCGAGAACCGAAATTTTCAAAGGCCCATTGGTCAATTCTTGGAATCGACTCGATTCTCGGAAATTTTCGATTCTTGGAATTTTCGTCATTTCCGAGAAATGACGTCATTTCCAGGAATTCTCGGGGACTCGAGCACCGAACGAGTATATTCGCGCGATTTTCGAAATATTTCCGTAATTTCCGTAGTTTACGCTAGAATTTCGGGATTTTTTCGAATTTTTCGATGATTACGCATTCCTGGTGGTTTCTGGCATTAGTTTATTCAATTTTACAATGGAATATTGTTTAAACAATGGGTTTTTTGCAAAAGGAAATGAATTTGGTGTGTAAGGGAGAAGTAAATGGACTGTATAATGCTGTAAAACAATACTGGAGTACTGTAACCTTTTGTAATATACATTTTCTAATGCTTATTTAATTTTGCAATGAAATATTGTTTAAACAATGGGTTTCTTTCAAAAGGAAATGGATTTGGTATGTAAAGGAGAAGTAAATAGACTGTAAAATGCTGTAAAACAATACTGGAGTACTATAACCTTTTGTAATATACATTTTCTAATGCTTATTTAATTTTGCAATGAAATATTGTTTAATCAATGGGTTTCTTTCAAAAGGAAATGGATTTGGTGCGTAGAGGAGAAGTAAATAGACTGTAAAATGCTGTAAAACAATACTGGTATATTGTAACCTTTTGTAATATACATTTTGTACAATAAATTTGCAATAAATAATTGATTTTTTCATAAATAATTGCATTTCTTCATTTTTCCTGATGTTCTAGTCCTTTGCCTGGTTCTTGTGTAGTCCTGGAAGGTCCATCTGTAAATCACACAAAAAGAACAATAATTTTTCAATTTTCAATAAAAATTATAAACAATTTCTGTCGATTCCACTGAATACAATGGTTGATTTAATGCAAAATTAACAAATTAAGCTGTTTTATTCAGTTAAAGCATGCAACAACTTTATTTAAGATTTCCAATATTTATAAACTAGCATCTAAATAATTATTTGAGAAGACAACATTAATTATTCTACAATTAAAGTGCTTGAAATAAAGGAGACGTAAACGAATTAACGTAGTTTCACAATATCAATATAACAAAATTTAAATAAAAATAAGTACAAAATAATAATTTTTCTCGCTGGATAATTAAGTATATAGTTATTATTATAAGAGTTAATCATATATTTAGTAAAATCCTTTATCAATTTAAAATATCAAAAAGAAAGTTGTGAAATGATATCGGATAACTTTCCAAGAAACTATTTATAATATGTACTGTTAAAACTTTTCAATAAATCGTAGAAACTTATTAAGGGCAATAAAAAGAATGCAATTTTCTATCGAAATGTAATGCGTTGGGAGAATTGTTCGATGATTTGTGAAAGTTTTTGATTTATTTGGCTCTGTACAGATTTACTACAAATTTATTATTATTAGTAATACCGTCGTACATTTGTAATCATCGTAAGGGTATTATGGTTGCGTCTTTACCTGACATTCTGTTTTATCATACATGGATGAATAAAATCATTCTTACTGAAGTGGATTCAGGTTACGTAAGCTAATGTTCTTAGTTATCGTTACAGAAAATTTGTTATCTACCATTTTATCGATAATCGAGGAAGAGAGAGAGACTTACATTTATTTTGCACCTGCGAAAAATTGAAAAGACTGATGAGCGAGTATGAAGGTCGTGAAGTAGAAACAAAAGGAGAAAGGTACAAAACGATCTCGATATCTTCTGTCGCATCTAGCAGAGACAAGAATAGTTCTCTTAATTAAGCTTTGGAATAACCATCTTATTTAGGTACAACAGCTTTGCAATAGTTTAGTACGCGTTGCCTTTGCGGTAAGCACGGCCGACGATAATATACATTCATACAAAGTTGCACGATATTTAAGCTTACAACTGAAACGCTTCCTCGTCGTTTCATTGTGTTACAAAATTCTCCATAAATACTGTGTCATAGTTGGCAAAGTAACTAGAAGTATACGCCTACAGCTAGTAGTCTTACACCTAACAAATTTATACTGCGAATTATATTATCTTTGTATGTGTATTTGTGTGTGTGTTTGTGTATATGTATGTATGTATGTATGTATAAACATAGTACAGACGAGACTGATCAATAATTATTACATTATCATTATAATAATAGTATTTTGACTACACTTTAAAATCATGTGAATGTACACGTGTCGTTGCCAATGAATCGTATGCTACAATTGCGAAGCGATTCTGTGTCGCTTCCTTAACCTTCACATATTTTGTACACGATAAAACGCTGCCTCCTAAAGTCAGCGAAAATTATTATTAAATATAAATTATCTTTCACGCGGTTCGAATCAATCGAACATCTTTCGCATTTACTAAAAGAAAAACTGCTCTAATTCAACCAATGCACTAACCAACAATAGGTTTACTCTGTCCCGTATAGGATGAAAACTTCCCCTTGCTCAAACAACCGATTAACGTTCGGAAACAGGTGAGATAGAAACAGATTTCCTGAACATTTGATGATCATTTGAACGAATAAGATTATACAATAATTTTAACGATCAATATGTATATATATATATGTGTGTGTGAGTGTGTGTGTACGTGTATATGGGTGCGTGCGTGTGGGTGTGTGTACATATATATTATATCTTACCAATAATCATATTTTACCAACATCGATGCAAAATAAATCACAATTATTTTTTTCTTTTATGCTTAAAATTGGCAACTGTAATCCTCATTGCAACAGTAGTATTATCTCCCCTATTAGAGTTTGTCCCTCTAAACGCTAAAAAATATGAATCCTCTCACTCGTCTCATAATTATACATTGTCCTTACACCTTACAAGTAAATGGAGTATTTTGGTTTTCAACATCTCGCTGATAAAAACAACATTCCGTTCTCCCCCACGACATTGCTTATTGTGTTCTCGTGACATTGGAAGATCACTTGGAAACGTAGAAAAGATTGGAAAACTCCTGTCTGGTACTCTCGTTGTGATAGAGCGCACATACATATACCTACCTAGTCGACAAGCATACAAAAACATTTAAGGTACATGTATTTTACAGACTTATACACGAGAAGGAGAACAAAAATATTAGCTCTGCAGTTTGGTTTAGTTCACGTACAATATGCACTCTCACATACAGTGTATTATAATATATACAGAGCACTCGCTTATTTTAGCTAAAGACTTACACATATCATCGTCATAATGTAGACGATGGAAACAAAAAAAAAAAGTTAGATTTGTTTCGTTTACGTGCTATTCTCGTGGAATGTACCGAAAAGAGGAAACACTTCCTCTATGATCGATATCAAGCAATGATAGGGAATCGACATCTGATTTTGTGTGCGTACCTTCTTCGTATCCCTGTGTTCGTTTTACTACTCTATATAATCCTCTTTATGTTCGTTGAATTCTGCTTAAAAATCGGAGAATCGGGAAAAACATGCAGTTACATGTATTTCGTAAACTTTTATACTTTTATTTATAACAATGAAACAAAGTGGAAGTGTCTGGCGGTAAAGGAAAAATATATTATACGCATAGTTCTTCAAAAATATTCTAACTTTACAAGAACTTAGACATTCACTACGCCCATTTTATAGACTCTCCCTCAATAAATAAAAACACTTCTGGCTGACGACTCCTAAAATCGTCTGAGAAACGCTAAATACTTTTATTATCTTATTCTTCAGATAAATACACGCTATCAACTTGAGCCTGCGATTAACATAAAAACAAATTTATTTTTATCCACTTTATACAAAAAGAAAAAAAAAGGAAATTATTAAATATCTTTTCGTAACGAAAAAGAAAATAAACCCTGTTAAAGGTGATAAAATGGTGCATAATAAAAATAATCGTTGTTATGATACTATATTTATACCTTTAATGATACTGCTTATAGTAGTTCTGGTTTATACGCTCTCTATATTAACAAAACTCAACGTAAAACAATCGACAACGAAATTCACTTGTTCCATTTCTACTTTCAAATCCGATGCCTCCTTGATATACACCAAATTTGAACCGAATCACTTCCACTCGATAACTTCAGGCGAGCAAAGCGTGTATCTTGTGCGACGTGCAACAAAAAATTGGGTTTCGTTTTAAGTGAACGAAACGCAAGAATCGTCAGCCATTTTTTTAGGAGGCAGTGGCAGTAGATGGAAGTGAGGTGGGTCACGCGAGATTCGTTTCCTGCTCGCCCCATCCTTCGCTGTCACATTCGCTCTCCGATGCTGAATCGCTGTCGCTGAATTCAACAGCAACGCGGCGTGCTAATATGGATGCGACGTCGTTCAATGCGTTCACGCGTTCCACCTCCTTTTGTTCAATCTTCTCTACTTTACGTAATTTTATTCCTGGAAAAATCAATAGATACTCAGTTGCAGAGTTTATTCGAAGACTGAATTATTAATTAAATCATTGTAAAGATTCTTTTAACCCTTTGCAATTTAACGTTACACGTAGAATGATAATACATAACGAAAGTTTTAACAGTTCTAAATTAAAACTTTTGTTATGAAAACTAGATATATTATAAAGTGATGATTCATTTTTTCCTTTTTCAAAATAATGATCACAAACGTTTTGAACATTTAAATATACTACGTAAATTTGACTTTCGATACAAGTCAATATAACAAATCTCAAGTTAAAGTAACATATACAACAAAAATAGCGGTATTAGAAAAAAAGTATCGAATAATCTTGGCATTGAATATTGTAACTGTCAACAAGCTGTCGCACGAGACAAAGGGTTAATTTCGATTAACCGCATAATAGGATGATTACCGTCTCTAATTGCTTTAAGTAGATCGTTTCGCGGATCAACGAGGGGGATGTTCGGATTAACGGGCTTCCTCAATTGCCCGTCCACGATATTCTTCAAGGGTTTCAGAGGTTTCAACTTGGGTGGATTGGTTGCTATCATTTTAGCGATATCACCGTTGGTCAACGGCAAAGGAGGCGTTGGTCCGTTAGCAATAGGCGGTGGCGGAGGTGGTGGAGGTGGAGGTGGAATATTACACGGCGGAGAAATAGGTCTAGGTGGTGTAGGATCAGGAGTTGGAGGTGGAGGCGGTAAATCTTGCGGAGCAGGATCAGTTTCATCCGTTCCTATTTGTGTCGAGTGATTCGGCGGAGTAGGCGTGGAGTGATGACTGGGTAGTGGACTGTTGGAACGACTTCCGTTCCTATTCAGCAGATGTGACGGTATAGAACCTGAAATAATTCATTGAAAATTATAATTCCCTCGATATACCTTAATTAACTTAAACGTCCAATCTGTAATCTTAAATAAGAATCTGAAGCATATTTCAACTTAAATCATTTTTACATTACTGACACTACATTGTGATATTATTAAATACTCTGATACATAAGACTTAATATTCAAAACAGAGCATTGTTGAACAACATTTAAAGGATCTTCTTCAGACTTTTGATCTTTATTAGAGATTACATTGTATTTCTCGAGCATGAACGTTACAATGTCGTTACCATTCATAGGAGGAGGAGACATAGTTTCACCAGGTGGCGGAGGTGGCGGTGGAAGGGTGTCTCTACCAGTGCTCATTGATCTTCCTCGCGTTGGGGTATTGTTAGCAGAGGCTACAGTGGGCGTTGAATTGCTAGAGGTATTGCTTGGAGGAGCTGGAGGTGGTTGCGACGGACGTGACCTACCACCTCTGCTTGGAGTGCTCTGACCACCAGGACTCTGATACGTTTCGCTACCTCCTTGTCCTTGACTTGTACCATAGTGTGAGCCGTACAAGTTGTCCTCGTATCCTTGAGCCACGTAATTTGCTGCCCTGTTTAAAAAAAAAGAAAAAAACCATATCCTATATTAAAAATCTCACTCTCCTTTCACTTGCTTAGCTAATTACTTACGAAATATTCCTACTAATGAAATCTATCTAAAATTAGTTAGCTATTGAAATTGGTATTCGTTACTCACAAGTATGGTTACAGATGTTTCCTTAGAAGAAGCCAAAAATCGAAGAAATTACAAACCTGTAATGGTCGGAAGATGGAGGACTGTAAAGGTGTTGCTCCTCTGTCGGATAACTTCGTCTTAGCTCGATGCTGTTGGGCCTAGGTGGTCGTGGTTCGGTCATCACCAAACCAAGCAACGATTCGTCTGGTATATTGTGAGGTGGTCTATATTGAACATTTTGCGTCGGCATAATGTACTCGCCGTGTCCAACGGCCAACTGTCTTTGCCTTTCTCTCGTATTATGCGGTTGCCTTATACGCTTCTTGTGTCTGCCTCCACCTCCACCGCCACCCTCGTTCCGAGGCCTATGCGGCTGTATGGCAAAAATGTTTTATCAAACCGCTGCCACATTCAGATGCAGTAGCAAAGGTGCAAGACAAGCTTAATTCTCTTAATCAAGCATGACTCGATGGTTGATCCAGTTACTTGTTTCGTTGCATATTTGACAAATTCTACGTTATAAGACAGAGCTCTGTGCCCTTTAAATTTTCTTCCATTTTGAAACGTCGAAGGGACAGGATCAACTAACGAACATGATGGTGTTTTGTAGGAAATAAAGTTAATCGTTTCGATATACAGAATTTTGTGTGGAATACATCGTACAATTTGAAAATTCGAGAAAAGGTGTAACCCGATGAATTTGAAATTTTATTTCCTACAATGTGAAACATGACAGATCCAAAAAATAAAAATAATCCTGAAATGACTCGAGATCATGAGATTTCGTATCGATATTGCAAGATGGCTCGGTGAATAATGACGAGAAACTTCTATTTTAAGTACATCCAAAAGTTGCATGGCTGGCACAGAACGGCATTACAAAGTGATCGACAAAGTGACATGGTAGTGTGACAAACTGTTCGACTTTTGAAAAACAACTCGTTTACAAAACGGGGTATTATTGATTAAAGGCTTGCTTTGCATAGATCGAACGTTATTTTCAAATTGAATAACGGTATGAAATATGGGAAAAACAACGAAAATTCTTATCACAGAGAGGTGAAAGAAAGAAACGTGCCGTTCGATCTACGCAATGAAATTCTTTGCCAAGAACGAACATTGAAGAATGTGATGTCGTTGGCTAATCCTAGCAATGTAAACTATGTACTTGAGTGGTAGAAAAGTAATGTCGAGTTTGTGAACGTAAAAACAACTCAATTTAAACCACGATGTCAATGCCTTCGTCTAATCGATTATAAAATGTTCGTTGTTCTTTTCAATAATAGTGCTGTTCAAGCTTTAACTATCGTCTATTGTATCAAGGATCGGTTAAGCAAAATTGAAATTACGTCAGATCTGTTGATCTCTTTCTGAATTCTCTTCATCTTATAATAACGATGCGTGGATGCAGGCAAAAGCGTGTAAGGGAATCCCCACCCGTGAACAACACTATTTTGTATTAATCATTGCATCGCATTTGGTGCGTTTCAACATATGGTTTACGAGAAGATGCCAGTTTCAATTGAAGAAAAAAATCTTTGATATATTCTCCTCTTTCTCGTTTAAATAATTCCACTGTGAATTTCACTATAATAATTTGACAGTGACTATAAAAGTGGTAGTTGATCGTTGAAAAATAAAAATTTCAAACTGACTCTAAGTTCGTTTACAAAGTTAAGATTTTGTTAAATTTATCTCGATGAAATGTTCGACTTTTTCTACCGAACATTCCAAGTTTGTCAAAGCAAATTTCCTCCTTCAATCTTTGCTAACATTAGAAATATCGTTCACTTGTAACTGTTTCCTTAAGTTCGAATTGAAACGGCATCTTTGGTAGACGAATGTTCTTTTTCCGTGCTAAGTGTATTATTACATAAGACCCATTTTCCCGCTTACAATCCGATTTAAAACCAGTTCTCGGGACGTGAAAGCAAAGAAAAGCATACAGTCATTCTGTCGATCAGATGTTTTCGAGAGATAGTTCGCGTGTGATATTCATACATTCACAGCTTCGAAACCATTTTGTAAGTTTGTTCGAACGGTTTAAAAAGAAAACTACCGTATGACCTATATTCAAGCTTTTCTGCCATTTCTCTCTATTCTGCCGTTACACTTGCGGCCATAACGTCTTTCAATATCATTACAAAATTTGGTGAATCAACGTCACAGCACGTAACATTCACTCCGCTTACATTTACCCCACATGCATCGTAAACACATTTCCATACAGACAATCACATTTAAACCCTTTCTTTTTTCTTTCTTTTTTCTTCCCGCAAATTTATGCAGCAGCATGACTGACAGAAAAACAAACTTCGTCACGTTCCATGTTTTAACTGCTAAAAACAAAACACTACTTCACGTCTTTCTGTTTTCTTCTTGCTCTTTTACCGCAAGTATTAAAAGCCCCACGCTGATAGAAAAAGAAAAAAGGAAAGAAAAGAAAAGAAGTAATTCGATTGCAAAGAAAGTGAAGTGCTTATTAATTTGAGATTCACCATGACAAAACTGACATTACTCTCCCACCAACCCAAATAGAAACTTTCAAAGCGAGCATCTATCACAGCGCAAAAAGGTCGATTAATGAAAAACCACAAAGAAGTGAGTTTGATTATGTATGAGTGAGTGTGGTCGGCGATCGGTAATTCATTAAAACTGGATAAGGGTAATAAAAAACTACAAAGATCCAAACCATCGACTTGCCTCTCTGAACGGTTCGGCATATTCAGACTCGGTCTATAACGAAGGGGACAGTTTCAATCGTTAGAAATGGTACGTAATATAAGCATAAATAGTTGAAAAATTAACGAAATATTGTATCGTGTTTATTGTGCACCTCGAAATGTGTTTCAGCTAATTGTGTACAGGAATATGTATATATTTATATATGTATATTTATATCTGCAACAAATATAAAGAGAAATAACCTAGTTTAAGAGTGATCTTATCGTGTACTCTATATCTAAGACACAGAAAGAAAAAAAAGGAAGAAAAAAAAAAGAAGACGAGAGAAAACAGAAGATCGAGGTGCACGTTTTATTTAGGAAATAAAATAGAATGTGGGAAAATTTGTATACCTTTTTCCCCCGATCGTGCAACTTCTTTTCCGTATCTTTGAGCATCTCCTGGCTCCAGAGATCGAAGAAATAATTCGGATCTGTGTAAAACTTCAGTCCGTCTTTACCGTCTTCCCTGAAATTCGTATAATAGGAAATCAGTCTTTACCAAATTTTTCTATTTTCTAAAATCAGTTACTATACTTTCTCACATTGTTAACGAGCAGGCAAAAAGATTCGTGTAAACTTGCTTCATTACGAAAATATCGACATAATTGGTTACTTTTCCTAGTTATTAGGTTATCTTTTAAACGAACGATTTATCACTTTTATGTAAAGCTTGACAAGCTTAACACGTTGCAACTAAACGAATAATTGCAAAACCGAGTCCCGCCTTTAAATGTGATAAGATACTTGTTCAGCCTAATTTTTTGTAAATATTAAATACTGGCTTAATTTGGCCGAAATTTACTAATTCGTGTAACTAGCGGAAATTTCGTAAAAGGATCATTAAATTAGCGTTAGAAGATTGAGCGTGTCAAAATCCAAGTGCAATTTTCAAGGGAACACTTTTAAGTTATGATTCGAAATTAATCAACGAAATGTATATAAATTAAGTACCTGTAAACGTTAAGTTTATCAAGAGGAGGTGGTGTGTCGCATTGCTGATAAGTTTCCAGCATCGCCGTTGGCATAGTGTCCCTAGAAACAACTTGCTGATCGAACACCACCGAGCTTTTGAACGCCTTCCTCATGTGAATATCTTGCAGCGAGACTGAAACAACGAAACATAACGCATTCGTTAAAAACAGTATTATTCGACCTGATAACAGCAATTGTCAAAACGAAGGGAATTAATTTTCGTCAAAGTTAGAATTTTCTCTTCGTAAATGAAAATTATCTGAAATTTTCCCGTTATCATTCGAAACCTTGATTACCGCGAGAACACGAAAGGTATGTTTCGTAACTTGAACACTCAGCAATCCAGAACAATGAGAAACTTTATTACGGTATACATTAAACGTGCTTCAAGACTTATGCAACAAAAGAGTTCGTACTTCGATAAATAATGTTTTGCTTTGGACAGAGAAATAGGAAGCTTCAATTAAGAAATTTTTTTTTTTTTTTATGCAGGAGTTAGGATTATTTAAATTCACTGGACGAAATCCGACAGAACTTTCTGAAGGAAACTAATATGAAATTAAGGTGGAAGTGCGCGAACGATCGAATTAAGGATTAAATTAAGATGGAAGTGCGCCAGGAACCAGCGAGTAAAATTTCAAATGCAGCCAGCAAGGAAAGAGTACCTAATAGAAACGCTAAAATTGTCTTGAATATGAAATTAAGTGAGATTATTCTTAAAATAAAAAAAGAAAAAGAAAAATAATTGTACAGTGCAAGTAAATTTTCAAATGCAGCAGCAATGAAAGGGTGCCTAATAGAAACGCTAAAATTGTCTCGAATATAAAAGTAACTGAGATGGTTCTTATAGATAATAAAATTCTTTCTAATTTTAATGATATCTAGTAATAAATAAGATCTAAGAAAGTAACGAAAAGAGATAAATGAAAAATTTGAGAAAAGATAGGCTGATGAATGACCAACGAACCTTCCTCGACGTTGCTGTCAAGCTGAGTAACCTTCACAGCTAGCCGATCTATCCTAGCCTGCAAGGAGTTGGCCCTGTCGCTCAATCCGTGTGCTTCTCTAGCCAGCTCGCCGAACAGATCCTCCGCGTGCCTGGACAAACTGGACAGTTGCCTGATGGTGTTGGCCAACGTGCCATTCGTTACAGCTTCTAACTCCGACGGGAGCGGGAAGTTGACGGGTATGGTACCGCGAGCGACGAGCACCGGCTCCACGAGTCGCTTTGGAAGCGGCATTTTCTTCTCGCCGAACGCCTTCTGCCTTTCTTCCAAAGATCACTCACCGCTTTCTCGAGACCTGTAACAACGATTTCCATTGTTTTCTTTTTTCTTTTTTATAGTTCCACTTAAAACACACATTTGAAGATGAAGATTTGAGGGTTTCACGGAACGGAGTGTGATTATTGGAGGTGTGCGGGGATTTGAAGATATCGGGTCGGGCTTGGGACGGGAATTTTTGCTTTTTCAGGATCAGGACGAGAACTTCGAGATTTCCGGGATTCCCAAAAATTTCGAGATTCTCGAGAATTTCCGGGATTCCCCTAAATTCCGAGATTCCCCAAAATATCATGATTCCCAAATATTTCGAGATTCCCCAAAATTTCGAGATTCTCGAGAATTTCCGGGATTCCCAGGAGAGGCGGGATTCTCGAAAGTGCCGGGATTCCCGAAAGTGTCGGATTTAAATGAGTAAAAATAAGTGAGTAAAGAAGTTCTACAATGCGGTTTTCGAAAACGCCTAAAATTCGAAAAATTGAAACTGCGATCGCGTCCATTCGGGAATCTCGACATTTTCGACTCTGGCCCACCTCTGATAATTATTATCGAGGCTTTCATATGTACGCCACGTCCTTATGGATAATAATATATGATAATTGAGGCCTCAAATCGCTTAAGTCGACTCAGGTATGTGTTGTATACATATGTACATAATATATCAAGGACATATTACTTCTCTTTCAAATTTAATTGCATTAATTTTCATTAAGAAATACGATAATGAAAACTTTGAAATGAATTTTCTTTAAAAAAAACAGTTTGGCGTATGTGCCCTATTTCCATCAAAAGCCTCAATGATCAGTGTTTCATAAACTCTGATTAAGTAAACTGCAATGCTTACGAGAAACGTCCGAATACTTTTTCCATCGAAAGCCTCGATAATAATTACATTTAAATTTGTGTACACTGTCGATTGAAAAATTTTCGAATTACAGGAGAATTCTGATAATACGACACGTTTGAACTGTATCTGTGTGTGAATATGAGAAAGACAATTTTGAAAATGGTTTCGTGGAAAATTTACAGTCGAGGTTGTTAACTTGGAAATGAATTATGAAAGAAACACAATGGAAGAAGTAGGACTTTTTGTAGTGAAAAACGATGTTTAAGCAGGTCGTTACAAATGATCGAGCGAGACATTTATCGCGTTGGATGAGTAATAGAATTGTTATTGCAGGAAGTCGTTCCTGCTCTCAACTGACCACGAACCGTATTTTGCATCGCTATCGTCGACTATGCTTCATTTCCAGTATGTGTACAATTAATAATTTACACAAAAGATACATTTAAAATCACACTTAATTTATAAACATACGGGTGTCATTTTTTTCACAGATAGAAGTTCACGAATAACAAATTTACTTCGTTTCTAGATCATTATTTAAATAATTGAAGACACACGAAGAATGTTTACATATGGTTAATTTTACAATAAAATTTGTCCATTTTCCTTACTCCCTTCTATTCCTTTGACAAAACAAAAAGACAGTATTAATAAATACTTTAAATAATTATTAAAAGAAGGTGTAAACGTAAACACAGTGAAAACTCAAATTGAAAAAAATAATACGTTACTCAAAATAATTTAAAACGTTCACACCACAGAGGTACACAGAACTTAGTATTAGATTAATTCTAATCATTTTCTAGCTTCAAACATATCTACGATATGTACCTTTAAAAATATGAAAAAAGTGGAAAAAATCGACTCCTTGAAATCGAGAAACGTATACGACGTCTTAAAGCGGAATCGTGTAATTCGAGGATTAAAACGTAATTAGATATATTTGACGATGCAACAACAGTCTCGTGACCGGTGTACCTCCCATACAGAATTGAGTGAACGAATTCTAACGAGTGCAACGACTGCAGCCTCGCCTTGACTCCTTTCCTTTCCTTTCCTCCCCTTTCTGATTCTATTGGCCCCGATTAACTTGCTCCGGTTGTTGCCTCTTATCGTTCACTGCAACTCTCTCAGGGTCAACACGCGACGATAATTAGCCGGCTCGGGACTGGACGCGCGTAAGGGGTGCAGCCCTCGTGTGCGAAACTGTACGAGAAACGATGAGATTTCGCAAACAACGTATTTAAGCGTACAGGAGAAGTTATACTTTACAGGAAGATTTCAGATACTGTGGCACCTTTTTCTTTTTTATCTCCCCTCGTAATGTGCAATTAAGAAATTAACACAGAGGTCTTATCGAGTACAAAAATGCTCGATCGTATTGCGAGATTTCGCGTAAGATAGTTAAGACATCGTTTCGAAGGCATGTTTTTATTGCAAATGCTGTGGGAAAAGAGAGAGAGATTTTTACACGAAAGTTAATTGCTGAGTTATGCTGACAGAGTAGGTAAATCTTTCGGAGAAATCGAAAGACAATAAGTAATATCTTAGAGTGTAGAAAATTGTTAATAGATTGTTGGATTAGGGTTCTAAAATAAACAGTGTAAATTTTATCTTTCTTGTATCTATTTTCAGTCACCGATCGCTCATTTTTAATGGTTACGAACGTTAAATTTTGTGTAAATAGAGAAAATTGATGATATTATGATAAATAAATGTTGAATAAATTTTTGATGCGTATGAAACATTATTTAATGTAATCAATTTTGCCTTCACTATGGCTATTTTCAGTCTATGATCACGAGTCAACGGATTTTTAATCTTTAGGAAATTCATTTAACCACGAATAAGTAACGAGAACGTTAAAACGTAGTTTTCTATTGAAGAAAATCGAAGAAACGTATTAATTGTTATATGTAGCGTTATAATAAATTACTGGTAGTATAAATTTGTAATAAAATTGTGGAAATTAATAAATTATACCGTGTTATGATATTGTATTAGAAGAAGGGAAATCTCTTGCGAAAAAAAGAAAATAATAGCATAATCTAAATAGTTATAACTGTTATAACATGTAAACAGAACGTTAAATTTCGTATAAAGTAGAGAAAATGTATAATATAATTTATTTCGCGATATTATAACATACAAACGTTGAATAAATATTAGATTCGTATAAAAAGAATTATTTAACATAATAATTTTAGCTTCGTTATGGCTACTTTCAGTCTATGACCACGGGTCAACGTAATTTTTAATCTTTAGGAAATTAATTTATCCATGTGTAAGTAACGAGAATGTTAAAACGTAGTTTTCTATTGACGAAAATCGAAGAAACGTATTAATTGTTATATGTAGCGTTATAATAAATTATTCAAAGAATAAATTTATAATAAAATTGTGAAAATAAATAAATTTTACAGTACTGTAATATCGTAATAGAAACATGGTAATTAGTCGCGAAAAGAAACAACGTTCCTGGCGCCCGACCTTATTAACGACCTTATTAACGACTTTATTAACGACTTTATTAACGACTTTGCTAATGACTTTGGGGAGAGGGTACCGAAGGTATATAAGGACCCGCCGAGGTCCCGCGAATTCATTCACCCTTTATACTGGGCCATAGACACTTCGCGGCAAATTAGTCTTAAAGGTTCTGAGTTGTGAATAAGGTGGTCGAGGGCTACTAGCTAGTCTATGTCCACCGTATATACACTCTGCCTTCTCAAACTTAGCATACACTAGCATTCTCAATTATCGATACTTGGAAAATTACCATTAGATTCGACATTTATTTTTAAATTAAATTGGTTCTGCATTTACGAATGCTCATGGACAAGTACTATTAGACTTTGGATATTCTGCTTGAAATTATTGTTTTTAAATTGATTTTAGAGAAATTCCAAGTATCGATATTTATTAATAAATTATTATCAAACTTTAAACATTCCACTTCGAATCGAAAACTTCGTAATTATTTCGAGAGTTTAGAGAAATCGAGATACTTGTTAGTAAATTATTATCAGACTTTGAACGTTCCGCTTCGAATCGAAAATTGCGAAATTAGGTTGAGAGTTTATTGAAATGGAGATTTCAATTTTTGGGATAGGAATCGGATATCGATTTTCAAACGAATCTGAGATTCCACTAATGGAAATTTTGGTCGTTTCAGGTGTTTGTCGAAATTAAATAAAAAGTTTTCTCTAGGTAACTAATTAAATATATTTTCGTTACAGCTGATTAATAATATTTACTTTTACTCCAGCTATTCAATCTAATTTGAAATTTTCGTTCAGTTTCTCGAATGTTTCTATTATTTTCTCTGATATTGAATTGACTTTACGATTTGTCATTTTGTAAACTAATAATTCACAGCTATCTAAGAATTTGCATGATTTGCATGAAGTAGTTAGTTGAATTATTGTATTTTATATTGTGATCTGCTGATTTCCAACGAGTGGACTATACTCGTTGCACTGTGCTCACCCTAATTAAACCGTCTCAGTAGTTTACCGTAATTTTTTGAACTTATTTTGAGAATGTTTCAATGTTTATAAATACTAGAGTCACCGAATCGCGTATTGAAACAATAGCTTCATCCCTAGTTCGCTTATTATCGAATATTTTTACGCGTTTAACTGATACTTCCCTGCAATTATCGTCGCGTATTTTATTGAAATTTACTTATATTATAGAATCGAGAAAGATATAAATTCACGGCTTTTTACGCGTATTCTATTTCAGTTTCTATTTCATTAGAAAAATCAAGAATAATATAAAGTCGCGGTTTCTCCCACTCTAAATGAAACTTAAATAAATCGCGTTTCGTACACTTTTCGCGTCGACCATTCCACAGTGACTCACACTTTGTGAGTCTGTGAGTCTTGGAAAATTAACGCTGGGGGACTGGAATGATCTGAGAGGAAGGATGACGATCTGAGTGGAAGGAAGGAAGGAAGGAAGGAAGGAGGCAATGCAGCCAAATCCACGTTGCAGAGTCCAGCTGCCTAATTTGCGAACGGTGAGTTACAAAAATGGGTTTTTTTCTGGCGATTTGGGTAGTTAGTTGTATTGTCTACTGAACTGCCCCCAAATAAACCGTCTCACTAGTGTTTCGCAATTAATAATCTATTTTGGAGAGTCATTGCATTGTGTATTATAATAGCTTCATC